ATAAGATGTAGACATATCTTGTCTAAACACTATTAGTTCAAAACTTCTCATTGAACTAAGAGAAAGTAGCTGTATATCTATGCTATTTTGTATATGCAGATATATATATATATTTTTTTTTCCACTACAAAATGGACCTTCATTTTTATCCCTTTTTTGTTTACTTTTGTCAGAGATGGGTATTCCATTGCCATTCACATATTGTAGGTGCGTGAATTCAGCAAAGTAATCCTTGCTAAGACACCTGGCACCTTCAATCTAGAGACTCATTCAGAACCCATACAAACTCCCTGTGCTAATTACCATAGTAACAGATGCTGGTGATTCTCATTTTTCTGTGAAGTCATGTTTTAAATTATAGCATTTGATGTGCCTTTAGAAATGCAGGGTGATCTAAATGTTAGTATCACAGCATGTAAAAATAAACTTGTTTTCTTTCTCAAAAAATCAAAATGATTTGACACTTGGCTATCAGTAAGCTGAAAATAATGAGCTGACTCCCACTTATTTTTTTAGTAAGAAAGGTGCAGATGTGTGAAAGGAGCAGACTCCAGAGCGGATGATGAGGAAATTCAAAAGCGAGGGTGCCCCTTCTGTCTTGGGGCTTAAAGTAGGCCTGAGAGGGGGTCACGTGGGCGCAACCAGAGGTGGCCACTGTCCTGGCTCTGGGCTGGCTTCTCTTTTGTTTCCCTACAATTTGGGACAGAGCGGGAGCAATAACTAGCTTAACTGTCTAGTACATTGAGAGTCTCCATGTTCACGCTGGAAGGAGGGGTTCTTAACTGTGTCGCTCTGGCTGGAGATGTCAGGCTGCCAGAGCCCACCAGGGGGTCACACCTGCAGTGCTAACGACAAGAGATGCCTGTGGGGTGAGGACATGCAGCTAGAGCTCGTGCTTCTTGGGCTCGTGGCGAAGGTCAAGGACCTGTGGCACAGGAGGAGCATATTTCTCTGGCTCAAGTTGGGACGTTAAAGCAATCTGGTGAGAACAGGATCCCCCTGTGATCTCTTCATGGGGAAGTTGAGGGCCTGAAGGTCTCCTTTGCTCGTTGCTGTTTCCTGTTGTCAGGGTCATTGTTTCTGCCTATAGGGGCCTCGGGGTTCACCCTGTCTGATCTAAGGGTTTAGGGGGATCTCTGGTGCTTCAGGCTTGGGTTCTGATGGGAGCCTGGTGTGGAGCTGCTATAATCTGGAAGACAGAAATGAGGGCAATTAAGCAAGGTCCAAAGATTAGGATTGTGGCTTGTGAGCTTCAGTAGAAGGTCTAGCCAGGAGAACCAGGAGCACACCTGAATTTCTAATCTGACCAGTCGAGCCCCCACGATTCACAGTGCTTCTGCTTGGCCTTGGCCTTGATGTGATAGGACCAAGGTTATCTGTGACTTGGCTAGTTTCATTAATAAAAAGGCAACATTTTTCCTTTAGCATGGCACAAGTTCTGCCGTGGTTGGCTGTACACAACTTGAATGCCTTGTGGCTTTGGGGAACATTTTGATTACTGGGGTTAACTTGTCTTTGAAGGGACTTGGTGACCTCTGTCAGGTTAATTAAAGGACAATGCCAGGTCTCCTGTAAGAACTAGAGAATGTATTGGTCCTCCTGTTCCCATCCCTGTTCATGGGAGGGTTTGTAGAAGCATCAGGAAGCTGACTGGTTCAGCCTTCCTGAGCTGACTAATGATGGATCCTGGAGAGTGGAGCTGGTACTGGAAGATTACGAATGGCCAACACTGGGGGAATGTAAACCAGCATGCAGGGACCCATCCACACTGGAGGATGTCACGCGGAAGCTTCCCTCAGAGAAAGCACGGTTCAGGTTCTCAGGGTTCAGACAGGATGACAGAGAGTGACCTCGTGGTCCTTGGCTGCTCCAGTACCATATGGACTCCGTGCCTCAGAGACTGAATAATTCATTGCTGTGGACATGCCTGCTAGAGGGTGGAGATGAGCAGAAATTGCCTAAGGATGTTTTAGGTTAGGAGATTTTGAGTTAGGTCTCACCCTTAAGCCTTACCGAATTTGAGGTAGTCATACTATAAGACAGGAGAGTTGGGTAACAATAAAATTTAGAACACAAATGAGCAAGCTGATTCCCAGAATCAGAGTCTACTGGTGTCCTGGGCATCCTGCACTTATAGTCAGATCTCCCTGAAAGAGAAGATCTAAGATAAACTGCAGAAATAGGAGTCAGAGAGGACGTCTAAGCTGCCGTCAGTGACAGCATTCAAGGTGCTCTCATAGAACTCAGAGACAGCGTCATCAGGCGGGTTCATGGGTGTTTGAAGATGACCTTATGGCTGCGAGGCTTTCTGGGTTCATAGCCTCTGCAGGAGCGGGTTGATCCTGAGAAGTGGATCCTACTCTCTCTTTCTATTCGTTTCACTGCTGGAGAGGGTACAGACAGGATGACCCGAAATGAGCCTCTTTTTTGGGTTTTAATTGGCCTGAAGAAGTTCTTCCTTTCTGGGTTTTTCATAGGGCCTGATTTTCAGGTGGACTTCCACTGCCTTCTGTTTGGGGGCTGGAAGTACAGCCCTGTGGTGTTCTATGATGGCCTGCTGTGCCTGGCCAGGGCTGACAAGGCCTTGGAGGGGCCCGCCATCTTCCAGCTCTCCTGCCATGCTGGGGATGAGAAAGCCTTCTTGTGCAGTCTTTGATGTTGCCTTAAACTGTGGCCCGTCTTGTCTTTTTTTTTTTAACTGAGGGTTGAACTTGGGCCCTTGCACTTGGCAGGCAGGCACTTACTCTGCTGAGCTATCTCCTTTCTGGGGAGTATTTTTGATTTTCAGAGAGTGACTCAGCTTTGCCAAGGTCCCTGTAAAGGTCTGATTAGCACTTTACATTGTTTCTGAGAACTGAGGTAAAGGAGCTAGAGGTTGGACACCTCGAGAAAGGTTAGTAGTGAAGAAGAAGCCCTGTATTAAGTAAGAGTTAAATTTGCTTGCTAGTGACAAATGGTTTTTTCCCCCGAGGTGACAAAGATGTTCGCAAATGGGGGCACCATTGTAGACCTCCAGCCCTCTTCCATCCTCATCCTCCTCTTTGACAGCAGTGACCTTGGTGACTGAAATCCTGCCTCTCTGGGAAGGAGGGCAGGCCCTCAAGGCTGACTTTTGGCAGTCCCAGGCCCTCACTTATGTGGCACTGTCCTTGGCTCCGGCATGGGAGGCAAGTTTGTCCTGGCTCCTTGGGGCCATCTTGGGAACTCTCTGAGGCCCAGTGTGTCTGGGGCTCATTTAATGCCTCACCAATTGCTGCAGCCACAATTTTGGCCTGTCTGGGCTTTTGTCATCTTTGCTTCCTGCTCTCCTCCAAGCCTCTGTTATTATAGATGGAGAACACTGCGTCCAATAACTTGGCCAAGGCAGTTTGGGGTCCATTTGGAGTTCTGGTAATTTCCTTGAGAGGTCTGGTGCTGACAGGCTAATGAAATGTTGTCCCACAAGAGTTTTTCTCTCTGTGACAACGGGTCAAGATTGACACAGCTTCTGTCAGCCAGCTATGAAAGATGGTAGGGAATTTTTTTTTTCTTTTCCTTAGGTGACATTTATTTTTTATGTAATTAACTTGTTTTTCAATGCTAGGTTTTATTCCCATGATGATGGTGGTTACTGTTTTCTTTTTTTGTGGTACTAGGGATTGAACTCAGGACCTTGTGCTTGCCAGGCATTTATTCTACTGAGCCATCTCCCCAGATCAGTGATGGGATTACAGGTGTGCGCCACCACGCCCAGTCTCAATTGCTATCTCAGTGTGCCCCAGGCCGGCATGTCAGGCCCAGGGATTGAATCCCTGGCCCCTGTGCCTGCTTGTAGGCACTGTAATCCACTGAGCTATTTGGCTGGCCCTGTTTTCTTTTCAGAAATTTTATTCCCTATGTGATAATTTTAATTGGAATCTGTTTCTTGGCCATTTACTGCTCCGGAATGGTGTCCTGCAGGTGTGGCAGCAAAAACAGAATTGACATGTCACTTTGTCACTTCTAAAATCCTTTGTTTTTTTGTTCTGGGTGCATCAGGTAGGCAGAACCAGCAGACATCCTGCCCAGACGGGTCACATGCCAGTGCCACTGCTTGGACTCCGCTTGCAAACCTGGAGGACTCTTTTGAGAAGTGACCTTTTCTCCACATTATTGCAATGTCAGCTCTAGAGAGGGCTACCAGAAGTCACTGTGTCCTGTGTGCCCACTGTCTTGGGATTTAACTCTTGGCAAGTTCTCCAAGAATGGCTTACAGAGCTTAGTTTTTCTAGTGGAGGAAGTTTGGGGTACACTGTGGCTCACGGGGGTGATGTTGGCACCCTGGAAATTTGTTCTTCAGAAACAGGGGCAGGGGAAGCTGGCCTTGGTGGGGCCACAGCCTCTACCTAGTTTCACCTATTTTAAAGATTCTACCTACTAGCTGGTCAGTTTTAGACTATTGGGGGATTTACAGATAGGATAAATCAGTTCCCTATACCATTGTCCAAATTATTGATTCAAAACCTAAACAGTAGAGAGTGGAACCTTCTGGTATGGTACTGGCTATGGGCTCAGTAAAATGGGACCTTGGTCTGCGTGGGCTGCTGTGTGATTGCTGCAAGCATCTGTGAATTTACTGTTACTTAGCTTTGTATTTTTATGGGAGATACGCTTTAGCTTCTACAAAAGATACGCTGGGGTCTTATCAATTGCCTTTTTCCATTGAGGACAAATCTAGCAATTCCACAGAATCAGCTAGTGTCTAATGATTCCGTAGAATTCGTATCTAATGTATCTGTTGAAGAAGGAAGGAGCCAACTCTCCTGGGCTGGGTTTCTCTAAGAGGAGAGGACGCCTGCCCCGAACCATGCCGGTCTGCAGTTCTCCGGTACAGCAGCCCTGCGTGCTTTGGGGGATGGTAATTAGATTCCAACTTCCTTTTCACTGAATGGAAAACTGTTCATGTTGCGTGTGTGAGAACTATAATTTTTAAGAGCTTTATTTTTCATTCAACTGGACACTTTGAGTTCTTTCCGCAATTTGCCTACCAAACCAGAATTGAGTATTAGCCAAGGTTAGGATTTTGGTTTTCTAAAGCAATACTCAGGGTTTTCTGATCAAAAGTTTTATATTTGCACATGTACACATTACCGTACCACAAAAGTGTAGGGTTTCCTTACAGGTGATAATTTGGGAACCTAGAGGCAAACAAGAGGCTCGGGTTTCGTGGCGGCTGCCCCTTCTCCATGGGCTTAGGGGTGGTGAGTTTGATCATGGAGCGCATTCAAAGTCTTTGAAGTTCCCTCAGGTTCGCTTGCGCTTCCTCACGCATCGCGCTCTGCCTCACAGCAGCAGGGTGCATAGGCCATGAGGCGTTACCGCGGTGGCGTCAAAGCTTCTATGGAAAGCCTGCTCGTGCTCTTAAGCTGTGCCTTAACTGAAGTGGCTTTATTTTGTTCCAGAAACAGCCGTCAACATCGGCTATGCATGCAACGTGCTGACTGAGGACATGAATGATGTCTTTGTGATAGCAGGGAACACGGTGGGGGACGTGAGAGGAGAGGTCAGGTAAGAGCTCCAAGGGGGGCGGGGGGAAGACTCTCAGGCTGAGGAGACAGCACAAAAACACACCATAGCTTCTGTGGGGCCCACCCAGGTGGTGCGCTCCACACATCTCCTGGAGCCCTATCATTCTGGTGACAAACTCAGGCATGCTTGACATTAGGAGCAAATCATTGTCTTCAGGCCTCCAGTGTTTCCTGAGACTTTTAAGAAAGGATTTCACATCACTTACGATGAATTGTCCTTTAAAATTGTGCTCTGGTGAGTTCTCTGGCTGCATTCTGACTTACAAATTAGGATCCTCCAGGGAATGGGGCATGGGGTTTGTATTTGATGAAGAACTAGATGAAGCTGATGAGTAGATAGATTTGGAAGTTGCAGGTGTAGCAGATGGCAGGTGAAGATGGAATTGGCTTAAGCATTAAAGAAAATAGGTATTCTGATGTGCTTCCCACTGAATTTAGACAAAGAATGCTTTTGAGAAGTACAATACTATGACATTCATAAAACTGCTACGGAGCACTAGGAGGTATGTAAGTGTTGCCACTGTGGATAAGAGTGGATATGCATTCAACTTGGAGAAACAAAATTTCCAAGTATACACCAATTCATTTTCTTTCTTCATTCAGAGACCATTCAAAACTAGACATAATTTTTCCCCAGCTTTTTTTTTTTTTTTTTTTTTAAATTTTAGGGCAGGGTCTACAGGCTGTTCAGCGTCTCACTACTAGATCGGACTTGTAATGATCTGCCTGTTTACAGCCTCCCAAGAGCTGGGATTACAGGCACATGCCACCATGCCCAGTTTCAATTGCCATCTCAACTTGCCCCGAGGGCAGGGCCAGCATGGCAGGCCTGGGGATTGAACACCCAGCCCCTGCATCCCCAGCACTTTAAAGTGCTGCCCCATACTCATTTCTGCTTGTCACAGCTGTCTGTAGTAGCCTCTCAAGGCCCCATTGCTGCAAAGGCAGCCTTGGACCACAGCCCCACCAGCTTAAAGATCAGATTCCTTACTGGTTAGAGGTTATGCCTAGAAACTCTATATATCTTTGCCAGATAAAAATTGGGAAATCTAATTAATTTTTCCTGCTATCATTTAATTATTATTGATAACATTTTATGAGGTATTCATTTGACAGTACACTGCTGGAGTACATGGTTTCCCCATCATTTTTATATAATCCTAATGATGGATTCTATAAAGGCTCTTGGGGAAATAGTAATAACTTGCTTAACAATTAATTAAAATAAAAAGATTCTCTCCCTAAACACCTCCAGCCTGGCCCTCCTCCCTCTGAGGAGTGCGGGTTGCTGGACATCTTACTGCTTCACCTGAGTGAACATCCCAACTTGGCCACTGGTGAGAGTGTGGACTTCCAGTCAGCTGGACTGCAATGGGAATCTCAGTTCCTTGCTCACAGGCTGCCTGGTAGCCTTTTGACGCATTCTTGAAACTCTTTCTGCCTGGTTTCCTTGTGTGTGAAACGATCGGTCCTATGGATTATTGTATTTGGGGATTAAATGAGATAAAAACAGAGTGTTACAGCTATTCATGGAGCTTCGCCCCACCTCCTCCACATCCTGCTCCTTTCCCTCTTTCCTTCAGGCATCAATCCCAATCTTGCCACCCAAAGGCTGCTTTTCTACCTCTTCCTCAATAAGGGAGTGGGCCTGAGACCCTGGGAAGGAGACCAGGCCTGAGGGAGCAGAGTGGGAAGAAATTTTCACCTTGCCAAGCCCATCCTGTCCTGCAGGAGAGAGTCTGAGGAGGGAGTGTGGAGCAGAGCTGAAGTTTGCCTGTGTGAAGGAGAAGCAGAGGGGGCTCGGCACGTTTGGCTTCTCTGATGTCCACCAGCTGCGGTGTACTCAGGCCTTTGGGGACAGAGCTGTATCCCGCTGGCTCATGCTGGTTTCGAACCCCTTTTCTGACTGATGACACAATAATCACACCTTGCATTCTCAGTTAAGTTAGCTCAAATCCAGGACTCACCCTGATCTCGCCTGTCGTGGCTCATCAGGGTCTCCAGCTGGCAGCTACCCCTTCCCACGTCTGTGTCCCAGTCTGATCTCCCCTACCTCAGGTGACTTCTACCCTGCTCCTGAGGCAGCATGCTCTGCCTTTGGGATCCATCCTGTGAAACTCAGGGGATTTTTTTTTTTTTTCCTCTATAAAAATTCGTTTAGCGAAATTCTACATTTGTGGAATTGTGGTGACACTGGTACCAGCCAGCATCGAGAGTCTATGTTGGTGCTCAGAGAGCAAGCATCTGACCCCTCCCCTCTGGGTGTGGCCCTGGCCCAGTCCCCTGGGGTGACAGAGGGTAAACGGAGGCTGGCCTGCCAGTCTGGCACTGGCTGAGTTAATAACTCGAGATTGCACCCAGCCACTTCGGATTGACTCAAAGGATGATACAGCTGTCCTGACGTAGAAGAAACATGGAGAAATGCTCCTTATTTCCACGCTGCTTGCGGGATAGTGTCTCCATTTAGATAAACTATGCGCTCCAAAAGTGTACAGTACACCTCTGACCCAGTGATTCCTATTTCTAGGAATTCACCTGAGAAAGTAAGTGAGAAAAGTATGCGTGTGCGTACAAGTACGTATTTATTGCTGTGGCTGCTATGGTCACTTGCCACTGGAAGTAGAAACAATACTGCGCCAGAAAGGGCTTTGTTACGTACACAGGCTGAAATACTACACAGTCAGTAAAAGTAATCATTGACTTTGGAAGATGTCCATGGCATTGTTTATCACCTGACAAATGAGATTGCGCGTAGTAGGTCCCTTTTGGGCAAATAATATGACAATATAGTGTTACATATGTGTGTGCATCCATTAGATACCATCTGCTTACCCACATATGTATCAAGCCCTGTAAAGTATGTGCAGTTCTCTCTGGATAATAAGTCATGCCTCACATTTGCTTTCTTCCTCGTGGCTCTTTGCCTTATTTGACATTGTAGCATATTCATGCCAAACCCTGTACTTAGCAAAAACTAAAAGTCTATGTTTCATGGAAGGAAAGTGTTCAGAGGAAAAACATCTCCACTTAGAATCAGTATTTTGCAGCCCTTGTGGCTGACTTGCTCAGCTGCTTGGGAATACTGATTTACACCCAGCTTTGGGGGAAACCCCGTTTCCTGAATCTAAGAGAGGCACAGCATGGTAGGACGGTTTATTTTAGAAGAATCAATACATTTATAGTATGTTTTGGGTTAATCGTAAGTCCAGGGGGAGGAGCGCCCCAAAAGGTGACTGCCCCAAGGTGCTCTCTGTCCATCTAATCTTTGTTACTTGTATCTAAGCCCTAACTTTGGGGTGAAATATTGAAATCATAAATTTGTACCATCCCGTTTTCTTATGTTATGCTTTTGAGTTCAGTGAAAGTTCATGCAAAAAAAAGAAGTGTATCAGAAGAATAGGATCTGAGTGATAGTAGCTATTGGAAGGAAATGACCTAAATGCTTATATTTAAACCTGTCAAATGTGTTTAGATTATTTCATAAACATGGATATGTAATTTTCATGCGTATCATACATACGGCTTGTTTCAAATTTAATGTCTTGAAGCCATTTTATACACTTGGAGCCCTGACTTAGTTTTGCTGCTGGAGCTGCCTTACATGAAGGGCCTGCCCAGAAACCTGTGTTTAAACCCTGCTGCAGTGTTCAGAAGGTTTCTGCCTTGCTTACATTGCACCGAGGCATGTCTTCTGCCCAAAGGAAAACAGACTGAGAATGTAATTTTGTCTGGGCTGCCAGCGGATCTCATTCCATAGTTCATTTTTGTAGCATTAATCACATGTTTTGTTGTTAGAGAAATTCATTGAACCATGAAGTGATTGACTTCATTGTGTCTACAAGGCATCCCCATGATATTCTTAAGAACTGATATTTCCTCTTTAATCAACAAAATATGTATATTGGTGTGTTTTGAACATCTACTTGATTGAAACTTACTGGATTGAATGAACAGGATTTGGAAATGCAGATAGTCCCAGGGCTGGGCAGGGCAGGGCAGGGAATATTGGCCGCGTGATCTGGGCCCCCTGTCAGGCTGTGGGAGGCGAGCAGGTGGCGAGGCCTTCCACGCTGAGGGACGTCACACTGGCTGTGGTCACATACACTCTCTGCACAGGCCCAACAAAGTACATCTTTATTTTAACTCCAAACTTCCAGACATCCAAGTACAATGTCTTAGTAGGTTAAATTTCTCTCATAAATCATAAAATTTCAGAGTTCTTCACCTTGCGCTCTTCTAGTCCATAGTGTAGAGCCAAGGCTCTTAGCTGCCATCCGTTTTTACTGCTTGATGCCCAGTGTATTTGACCAGCTGGTCCCATCCCCCTCATTTCTTTTTAAAATTATTATAATTTTATTTATTTTGAAGAATAACAAAAGCAAGAACAAAAATCAGAAATAAAGACAGAAACAGGGTAATATACAACAATACATGCTACAGACTTTCAAAATAAGAATAACTGGGCCAGGGAGATGGCTCAGTAGAATAAGCGCTTGCCTGGCAAGCACACGGATTTGAGTTCAATCCCCGGTTCCGCAAAAAAAAAAAAAGAATAACTGATTAATAATGGTTGATAATATCTATTTTTGTTATCAAATCTGTTGCTCAGATTAACATAGTTATGTAAGATTGGACGTAGGATTGAATATTACTGCTTGTTTTCAAGAAATCTTAAATTTTTGTTCTCATCTCTCTTTTTTCATTATCTTTTTCAAAAATTTTATTTTAAAGAGAGTAATGGATATGACATTAGAAATGGTACACATTTAGAAGACCAAGATGACAGGTATTCAAGTGTGGTTTTTGTATTATACATTGCTGTTCTCAGTATAGTTGCTTAGTTCACAGATATCAGCATACAGAGTTAGTCAAAGAGAAAATTTTACACATTACCTGCTATTTTCAAACAACTGATGGAAATTCTTAGTACAATTATCTCAGCCATCCTGTATATATACTTGCATGTTCTTTACCCTTACC